ATAAATAAATAAATAAATAAATAAATAAATAAAAAGTGAGAGGAAAAAACTACCTAAAAAGGATGACAACGGGTAGCAAGCGACACCCATTACGAAAGTTACAAGAGCAAAGGCGAAGACTTCAGACTGCCTTCACAGTAGTTGTCATCCATGTAGCATAAACACAAAAACATTTAATTTAAGCTTCTTTTTCTTTACTTCCCACAGTTTCACTTCAGGAAAAGCATTGGGGTGAATTGGCCGATTCTGACAAGTTACTTAATTGCCTGAGCCTTCTGTGAGAAAAAAATAAAGAGAGTGAGCACTGGAACATTTCCAACATGGAAGAGAGATTTGCTCTGATCTTCTAATCTAAACTAACTGTGTCTGTACAAACTCTTCAAAGTAAAATGTCCCTCTTCTCTAAAGTGTTAAATCAAAATTATAGTCTTTATTCCAGACACTTGAAATGTTGAATTGAATGGTCAGAAATAAAAATTATTTCCAAGAATTTTCTTATGAGTAACAAGAGGAAACCAAGGGTTATGTGGGGGAGGAAAACAGAAACTGGCCATTGTCACATCCACTGAAATGTCCCCGTAGCATTGAGGCAGCAGCTGCAACTTGCAGACAGGAGTCTAACACAGACAGTAAGCCTTTGAAGAAGCCCTCAGGCTTGGCCAACCCTGTTCACACACCCAACTAAGTTACAGTGTAACTACCTTCCTGGAATTACAACTCTATGGCTGGTGTTTTAGGCTCCAAAGAAAAACCATTTTCAGATGGATTGTGGGGAAAAAGAGCCTTTTTTTTTTTGGTGAGGGAGGTCAGCCCTGAGTAACATCTGTTGCCAATCTTCCTCTTTTTTGCTTGAGGAAGATTGGCCCTGAGCTAACATCTGTGCCAGTCTTCCTTTATTTTGTACGTGGGTCACCGCCATAGCATGGCTTGAGAGCAGTGTGTAGGTCCACACCCAGGATCCGAACCTGCGAACCCCCGGCCACCGAAGCAGAGCACGTGAACCTACCCACTACGCCACTGGGCTGGCCTCTTTAAAGAGGCCTTTTTTAAAGTCTACTTTCCCGTGGAAAAATAGAAAGAAAAACATTTAATAAATTAGAGATCTGCTTGAGCCAAAATTTTGTATTCTTACATAGCAATTTAATTTAAATGTGTATTTCATCCCTTGATTAAGGATTCTGCAATAGAGTTGGTTGTATTTAAGTAATATTACCATATTTTCCATTTCCTGGTATATAAAATGTCTCTAGTCACACCTGCATCCAAAATTACATGAAATGCTGCTGTCTGCTTTGAGATGGCACTTATGTTGGAGATCTGTGCAGCTAGGGTTCCATAGAGCATAGGTCACTCAGGCTAAAAAGGGATAAATCAGGGTATCTTTTTGATTTAAATTATTCAACAAATGACATGCAAAAAGTCAGATTCATTTCAATGTCTATATCCACAACTAATGCTTTAGAGAAAGACGAGGAATTACAGCAAGAATTAAGAGGAGTACAGGGCAGTCGACCCCACCCCCAAACTCTCTGCCTTCCATCCATTATAAGCCACCCTTTCATTGTGCTCTGGAACGTATTCCCACTTAGGCACTCCTGTAGGTTATACCTTCTGCTCATATCATGAATTTCTCCCTCGCAACTGGATCATTCTCATCAACATACAAATATGTGCTGGTATCTCCCATCTTTAAAAAACAAAATAAAACCAAAAAAACAATCACCAACAGAAAAAAATCCTTTGATCCCATGTGACCCCTATTATACTCCAAGTCTCTATTTCCTCACCTCTTATTCTCTCCTCAACTCACTGGAATTGGGCCCCTTCCCAGCACTGCACTGAAAATTCTCTTGATCATGAATGATCTCCATGTAGCCAAATCAAAGAGTCACTTGTCTGTCCTGCTTTTAATTGAACTCAGCAGCATTTAGCCCAGTTAACCATCACCCACTTGCAGAAATACTTTCTTCTCTTAGCTTCTCAACAAAAAATTCTCTGGTTCTCTTTCTACCTCACTAGCTCCTCATCTTCTGATTAATTATTCATACATCCTAGGACTTGGTCCTGGACCCTCATACTTCTTCTCTATCCAGACAATCTCCCAAGTTGATTTTATTCACTTCCAGAGCACTAAAAACACTGAAATGTTTTCGACTCCCAGATTCCTTACTATAATCTTGATGTTAGGTTTATATACTTAACTGCCTATTGACACGTTCATAGGCATCTCACATTTAACATGTCCCTAGTGGACCCTACATCCAGCAGCTCAAATACCACCTCCTCAGAGAGGCCTTTCCCATCTTGCTTCTCCCATTACAACTCTCCCTCCCTACTTCTGTAGTTGTTAACTTGTTTATGGCCTGTTGTCCCCAACTAGCATATAAGCTTTGTGAGGGCAGGGCTGTTGTCTGTCTTCTCATTGCTCTATTCTAACCCCTACAACAATGCATGTAGTAGATGCGCTACAGATATGTGTTGAATGAACAAATGTGCTTGTTAAGCAATTATGGGAGACCTCAAATCTTGCCTGGTCTTCTCTGATAAATTTATCTTTTCAACCACAAACTTCATCAACTGTCTATCAATCAAAAGAATATTAATACAGCCATACAAGTTATTGCTTGATAAGACAATTATCATTATTAATGATACAGTTACCATTATTATTACTAGAAAGTATGCTTTTAATAAAAATAGAGCAAAAGGATATTAAGAGGAGTTTAGAATTTTATTTTCAAAAGGTCACTGTGTGAGACCTGTGTGTGGCCACCTTACTGCTGCACTTGAGGGACTACGCCTTCGGAATCACAGGGACACTAAGCCACCATTTGGACCACCACTGACCACGCTGTCCCAGGTGGTACTTCC